GGCCACCTGCAAAGTCCTAGGGAGTGCCCTCAGGAGACCAGAAAGCAGCTTAAAGAAAACACAGCCTGGGATGGGCCAATACTGGCAGCTATATGTGTGAAGTTTTTTTTGGCTCAGGAGTCCTGGCCAGGGTGACTGTAGTGTGAGCAGCAGCTCAGGAAAGTGCTCAAATGAAGGACACGCCCTCTCTTTTGCAATTGCGAACTCATTTTCCATTTCCTTGACTAAGTCCTGGGAGCGCTGCAGCAGCCCCTGGGCAGGAAAAATGCTCAAGAATGGTTGACAGAGGGTCTCCAACTTGTCAGAAAAGAGCCAGAGCCCACCAGTTACAAAGAGAAGATAAAAAAGCTAGACACTCAACAGAAAATGACTTCCTCCCCGCTAGGCATCAGCTACCAAGGGGCTGGGTTCCTTAAAGGTATCTGGGCTCTGAGGCAGAATCGAGAGCAGAGGAAAAAGACACACTATATCCACTGCTTTTTCAGAAGCACATCTCTTTTCCCAAAGCAGGAAAAGATCACGGAGACCAACAAGAATGATGGGTTCAAGTCTGCTGACACAGGAGCAGGGTAGGTCCGAGTAGATCCAGGCCCGGGTCCTCACAGTGGCATCCCTGGATTTTTGGGGGCAGCCATATGAAGGCAAGGATTGGCTGTCTCAAGAACTGGGAGGACAGTGGGGCTGAAGGTGAGGGCAACAGCAGTCAGATTCCACTGTTCAACTCCAAGCTCATTTAAATGCAGGACAGTTGTGAGGCCTAGATATTTTATGCTGTGTGTGTGCGCTGCCTGCCTCAACTTCACTAGTGCCACCCCTTTCTTATTCACAGTGTGAGCCCAGCACCCAGCACTAGCCCTATCCCGTATTTGGCATGTGGTAAAAATATATGTAATGAACAAATGAAATAACAAGAGAATAAATGCACCCCATGGGGAGAGATTTACCTCCCAAGGGGAGGCTGCCTGACTCACTTCAACTACCGGAGCTTTACCCCAGGGAGCAGAGCTTGCCAACATGTGCCAAGAAGCCAGGAGGAATGTGCCAGCATCTTCTTGCAATAGCTCCATACCGATAAAATCATTTCACGTGATGATTTTTTAAGTGTTTACTTGGCAATGAAACCATTAGGCTGGGAACTCTCTATCAACTGCTGAAAGCCAGGACAGAGGCAAAGAAAGCTCCTTCACCTAAAAGTCTCTGGGTCCTTTCTTAAATGTCACCACCAGGGGGCCTTCAGATACCCACAGAGCCATGACACCAGCAACATGCCTCCTGGGTCTGTTTACCTCCTTATCTGAGTTTTGAAAGGCCAATTCCTACTCTCCCTTTCTTTCTACAATTTAAGAGAGTGAACAACACATTCTAAGTTGGAAATTGTAATTCTGAAATGATGCAAAAAATTGAAGATAATGAAAAACATCTGAGTTCAGATATCTGGAAATGTCAGCTACCTTATCCAAAGGCTGTTAGTAGGAAAAAAGAGCAATCAAGACAGGGTTTATATCAGAAACAGCTGCTCCACACAGCACATATCACCCCGTCCCCCAGCCCACCCCAACCCAGGGGAGGCACTCACTCACTGGAACAATCACGAAACAAAGCATAAGATGGAAGTGAGGAAATGTGAGGTTATTTTTCAATCTCCTCGTGGTTCTGGCTATTGTTTGAAGCTAAAGTATATATTGGAGAATAAATAAACTCAAGGGTTTTCAGAGAAACTGCCCTGATTTGTTTAATCCACCCCCCAAAAAATACCACAAGAAGGGACCAGAGACAGGTTTTAACCATTAGTACCATGATATCTTATGTACTGAGAAGAGCTTAAGGATAATGTAGTACACACCCCCATTTTGCAGGCATTAAAACATTAAAACCCAGACTAGAATTCGGGTCTCTTGACTCTGACAACTTAAAAAACAGCCATTTAGCTCCCAGAAGAGACAGACAGACACACACACACACAGACACACAGACACACAGACACAGACACACACACACAGCTATGTAATACCACAGTGTGTGTGTGTGTAACAAAACCAGGTTATAAGAGAAGACATATCTTTAGTGGAGAAAGAAGACATGAAAATGAGCCAGTTAAATAAAACACCAGGGTCTCCATCACTCTTGACTTTACCTCTGACAACATAAGGACAGCACCAATTCTTTGCTCGGCATAAGCAGATGTCAGGCATATCTCTCAAACATTGACATTGTTTATCAACAAATGAAAGCCAATTTTGTTCCACTCTTACCTTGCAGCTGCTGCTAGGAGATTTTTTGCATTGGGGGCTCCTGGATCTACAGAGAGAGACTTGGCAGCTAACAACAGCTTGCTGGATGCCATAGAGATATTCTTGAGGTTCCCTATCACTTGGATCTGGTCTTCTTTGGTCTGGAAGGTCAAAAGGTGCGGGTAATTAGGGACTCTCCATTTCTCCTAGGAAGCGCTCAGAAAGCTAGGGACAGCATTCTGCAATGGAAGCAAGTTATCTGTACAGACTGCCTTAAGTCCAATTAGTTTACAGATGCCTAACTTGTTGGGACAATGACCAGTGTCTATCCTTCCCCAAACAGATACCCAAACCAAGAGTCACAAAACAGGATAGAGATCCATCCCCAAGTGGGTCAGCCAAGAGCTGTGCTATCTCACAAGTAGAGGAATTAAAAGGAGGGGGAGGGGAAGAGGAGGAAGAGAATGAGAGAGAGCACGCGCGTGCCAGTGCACAGAACAGGCCACAATCCCAGCATCTCGCTCAACAATGCCGGAGCTGTCAAGGAGCTTGTACATCTCAGCCTGGCACAAATGACCAGCACTGTCACGATATTTAGAGCTGAATGCATCCCAGAACAACTCTGGAGAGGACACATTTCTCAACTGGCTTGCCATCTGAGAAACAACTCTTTGTAGATAATACAGAAACATCTTGGGTATCTGTTAGGGAGTTCACAGAAGCTTAAGAAAAAACAGTTCTGCAAGCTGACACCAGACCGGTCATGCTCCCTTGTTCTAAACAAGGGGTTTATCTGTTTATCTGGAGGAGGTAATTTTTAATCTTTCGATACTCAGAATTTGACACAGTCCCTTTAGAGGGGCCCACTGAAACTCAAAAGCATGTTTTTTTTTTTTTTTTGCTATGTAATACCACATTCGAAGTACAGGATGCAGAGTTGTTCTGTTCTTGGGAAATTTTTCTATTCTTGTTCCCTCCGCTTACCACCCTCCCTCCAAAAAAAAAAACATAAGTAAAACGATGGATTATGCTGGAGGATTATGGGAAAAGTTATCCTTCATTGCTAAGAAGTACTTCACATGTAAGTTGACAGCATCTTGGGGAATGACATTCCTGTAAGGTTATGGAGCTTTCTAAGTGGCAAAGAATGCAACAAGGTAGCTTGTTGACAGGTTCTCCATTCCTATTTGCCAAATCAGCCTCGAGGATGGACAATCCATCAGAGTAAAGAGGCGAGGGTCACTTCGAGATAGCCACCTCCACACCCACCTGTGCTTGGCCTGCCATCTCAATGCCAGCATCGAGGAATTCATCGAAATCATCACTGAACTTTCCGGAGGCTGCAGCCAGCTCTCCACTCTGGCCGCGGGTGGCATGGACCACTTCCCCAGCAGACTGGTTTAGGTCAGCCGCTGCTTGGTTCAGTTCACTCTGGGCTTCCTGGAACGGCTTTGTGCTTGGAGGTAACTATAGGGAACAGAAAGCACACCCCATGGGAAGTTTCACTTTGTGTGGGAACGACAGAGAAAGGTATTGTGGAGGGAAGACAGACTCTCCAGGGATGGATTTTTGAGTCATCAAGACTAAAAAAGGCTTCGTGTGATCTGAGCTCATATTAAGTTTGACCTTCAACGTATATACATTCACTCAGTCCCTTAAATTTATTAAACACCCATTCAGTGCTAGACACTGTGGATCTAAAAATGGTAAGAACAGCTATCCTCAGGGGCCATGGCCTCTTAAGTGACAGAGCCAGGATTCACATCTGGCCAGTCTGACTCCAGGATTCACTCTCTGAGTCACATCCCCATGTTGTCTCTCTTAGATGGAAACTCTCAAAGTTTTAGCTCTCCAGAACTAAAAGGCAGATGTTATTAAATTTCAAATCCTAGTCTTCCAAACTAATAGCCATTGATTTTTGTTTATCAGTGGTCTTTGCTAATAATATAGCTTTTCTACGGAAGTGTCACTAGCAAAACTACAATTGCATATGACAAGTTCCAGAGAGTTAAGCTAGGTTCTATGAGTTACACCACATATACTATTTACATACCCGGTGTGTGCCAGGCACCAGACAGAAAAGAAACAAAGATAAAAAGCCACAAGCCTCCCTGAAGAGGGCTCACAAAACGGGGAGGGGAACAGGTCCCAGGTGAATTCCCTCAGACTACGCTCTCTCAATGAGTCTTGGGCACATGTATCTTTCTACCACCTGACGGTCTGAGATGCCCTGATAAAAGTCAGATGATCATATACTCCCCGCTGTCCTGCCTCACTGGGATGACCCAAGAGCAAACGGCAACAGGGGCTCAAAGAAAAAGCAAACTTTAAAAGCTCCACATGAGAACTTCACTGATCAGAAAGCCAAGCAAGGAAGATTCAGATTGGCAGGAAAAACAGGACTCCTAAAGGGAAGGTTAGCTGCTCAGAGAGCCTGTGGTGGAGAGAAAATGCCACTCACACCTGAGATGGCCCAGTCTAAGTCCCCTTCCCAATCCCAAACTTCTCACCGAATCCACAAGCAGCTTCTTGCTGGACTCCCCAATGCTCTTCAAGGCCACGTCCACATCTTTCTGCCCGGGGAGGCAATTCACGCAGTTGTTCAGGGAGTGTGAGACAGCTTTGGCCACCTGAACACACAGAGGGAGAAAAGCTCCATGAGAAAGCGGTTTTTTTGTGCAAACATTCATGCACACGAGTCGGAAATGAGCAGTGACAGTATGCAGAGCTGAAAAATATTGGGAAGTTTTCTACCAGCATCTACCTGACACTGTTTACTATTAAATCACCTCTTCTAGGCCTTTTGCTGGGCTTAACATCCTGTCTTGGCAAAGGTGATACAGTACAGTGATACAGTACAACCTACCTGATCCCCAAAGCCAGGCTAAGTGGTGACTCTGTGATTCAAAGACAGAACTCACCAATATTATGTCAGGTTCTAAAACAAAACTAACTAACACTGAGAGAAATAGAAATAGCTCCCTTCTTGAGATCTCTGCAGAGGTCACCAAGGCAGAAGCAGGCCTTGAGTTCTTTGGGTCACAGTTAACTGGGCCTGTGGTTGATTTCTGCTCAGCAACCCTTCACCCCTAAACCTCACTGCCCAAGGGTGGGTGGGATGCTCTGAGTGTTTCCAGACCAACCTAGAGATACCCATAGGATGACTTTTAAGCATATGCGATGGCTCCCTATTTGTCTTCTTTGGTATTCTCAGTTAAAAGGTAAGGTCTTAGGAAGTGGGCTGTGTCATTCCCTTTATTCTAAACCATCTCATCCCCAGCGACCTGTCCAGAACTTTGCATAGTTGATCTCTAGCCAACTAGTTTCATTAGGTAATTGAAGACTCATCCTAATAGGCAACGCAGAGTCAGAATTTAAAACTTTGAGCGGCTAGACCAAGCATATCTACCTTACCTCCTAGGCAGGAAGAGGAATATACTTAAGCATTCATATGCCCCAAACAGGTTGTGTCCTGGCTCCTAAAGTTCCAAGGACAGAATTCGGCAAAGCCCCCTATACTCTCCATTGACTAAATTAAGCAGATCTCACATTACGGGGGCTACCTGGCAAGACTTAGGAAGGTGGGTATTATGTATATGGTCAGCTTGTTATGTACTTTGGAAGGTTCTGACAACACTCACTGAGTAAAAGTTTTCACACCAGGAGAAAGATGCCCAGGACACAGACTGCCAACATGTCTACTTTAATGATGACCACAGTTGCCAATTCTGGGCCTCACCTGGGCTAGTCTCTGCTGACTTTCTGCATCTCCAGGTGCAATCAGGGCCTGCTTAGCTTCTTGGATGAGCATGGCTGAGCCCTCCATCACGTCTCGAGCAGAGTCTAACATGGCATGTGCAGCCACGGGGTCACTCGTAGATGCAGCCACTCCACGGGCAGCCTGGGCCAGCGTTTTCAGAGCTTGGGCCGTTTCTCTGGCAGCCACCCCTGGGGATATAAGCCACCAGACTATTAGATTCCACCTAAAGTCATAATTGGGAGTAAGCCTCTAGACTCCTAGAAAGAAGAAAACCCTGACAGTGTCTGGCATGGGCATGCTCCAAATTACTTATAAAATATGAATTGCTGTGCTCCTCAGAGAGTCACCAGTACCACTGGCTCTGGGCCAATCCAAGAGAGATGTCATAACAAATGCCATGCTAATAACTATTTCCCTCTGGTTCTCCTCACTCCCACTGCCACACTTGCCCCTAGATATGTGTATGGGATCAAGTACACTTAGATGAATCATTCTAACTCACTTTTCTTCCCAATTGTTTTTTTATTCCCCAATTGTTTTTATTGGGACATAAACTTATATATGATAAGTGAACAAGACTATGAGTGCAGCTCAGTGAATTTTTACATATGTATACATCCACATATCTACCATCCAGATGGAGACAGAACTTTTCCACCATCTGTGGTCTTTACCAGTCAATATCCTCTCATACCAGAAGTTGTCGCTATTCTAGCTTCTATCACTTTTGATTAGTTTTATCTGTTCTTAAATTTCATGGTGATGGAACCAGAGTATGTATTCTTCAGCGTCTGGTTTCTTTCCCTGACCATAATGCTGCGAGATTCACCCATGTTGTTACCCACAGCAGTTCATTCCTTTTTCTTGCTGTGTAGTGTTCTATTACATGAATACATCAACATTTGTTGATACATTCTTCTGTTGATGGATTTGAAGTGTTTCCTGTTTGGGCTATTATGAATAAAGCTACCAAGAAAATGCTTGTATGTGCATTTAGGTCAACATATAAAATCACTTTTAAATGTAAACATAGAAGCTCAATTGCTGGGTCATAGAATAAGTATATATTTAGTTTTAGAGGGTACTACAAAGCTTTTTTCAGAGTAGTTTACCATTATGCACTCTACCAGCAATGTAGGAGAGTTCCAGTTGCTCTACATCCTAGCCATACTTGCTATTGTCAGATTCCTTATTTTAGCCATTCTGGTGGGTATGCAGGTGCATCTTGGTGAGGTTTAATATTTATATCCCTAATGAGTAATGATATCGAGCACTCTTTCATACATTTAATGGGTACTGGGATATCCTTTTTTGTGAAGTGCTTGTTCATCTTTAAATTCACTTCTAAAGATGGTGAGATTTGATGATAAACTACAAATATAAACTAGTCCTTAAAAACTACAGCGCCACCTCCTATAGAATGAACATGAGCCTTCCTACATGGCACCTAGTACTTGGCACATCCAAGAAGAGGATGAAGACTAGAAACACCAGAGCATGTAACAAAGGAATCTGAGAACACTGCAAACTGCCGAATAGCCGACCTCACAGCTCATCTCATTGAACCATTTCACAGATGAGACCCAGCACCTGTCCACGAACACACTTTCAGAAGCAGCATCAGAGCTAGATCTGAGGTTTCTTCATTTCTGGGTCAGACTCTCTGCAGTTACATAGACAGAATTCTTTTCAAATCCTTCGGAACAATCGAAAATCTGAAATACCTGGTTTTAACCTTGTGATCATGTGTTCTAATGCTGTCTAGTGCTCTTTGGGATAGAGAACTATGAGGGATCTTGCATACATCTGGATGAAAGATACACAAACCAATTTTTCTCTCACTAAACTTTGAGGTGACTATTTCCTAAAGGCTTCAACCTGAAGATCTGAGTGTGCCCTTGACCAGCTGTTGCTTCAGCCAATTGGGCACAGACACAGCAGGTGGCCCTCTTCTGAGGACAAGACCCTGGAATACAACAGAGAGTGTGAAAAACTCCCAGATTCACAAAACAAGACAGCTTTGCAGTGTTTCAGCCTTGCTAATCTGTAAATATTTAGTAAGTCACACAGCTGGGACATCTAATCAAGACAAATTACAAAACTGCCAATCTGCTGCTTCTCACATGGCACTTTTGAGTGTAGCATGTGGAATCAAAGAATTTTAAATGAATTGCGTGCGCGTGTGTGTGTGTGTGTGTGTGTGTGTGTGTGTGTGTGTGTGTTTAATGGCAGAGGAGAAGCCCAGAAGAGAAAACTCAAAGACAAAGCTAAGGTGAAGGAGAGATACAAGCCGAATAGAACAGTCATTCTATTATATGTTTAAGCACAGGGTTGAAGGATGTCCTTGCTCAGAAGAGCACCAGATGTGGGTAGGACCTCACCTAGCTCTGGCTCTGCTGCCCATTAGCTGTGTGGCTTAGACTGCTGCCTTTTTGCTCAGGGAGGGCCTCAGTTTCCCATAGGTTTTAGGAGCGGCTGAGATCACAGCTCTGACTGAAAATTCTAGGCTGTGATATTTAGACCTTTCTTCTTGCTTTCCTATTAATCACGTGACGTTTGAATCCATCTCTATTTCTATTTGAGCTGAATATGACCGAAAGGATAAAACATTTGAAATATACAATAAGTCATGTTTATGCAAAAGTCATTTACTGAAAAACCTTTCGTAGACTCAGACAATTTGAAAAAAGGCAGAAACCAGAAGAACTGAGTTCCAAGAGCCAAGGCTTGTCCATCCGTGTGTTTTTTTGCTGAGGACTATGAAATCTCAGGGCATGTCAAGGGTCCTCTTTGGAGGGTTCAGGTTTCCCAGAACGAGAAAGCCAAATGATCAAAGGATGAAACAAGGCCACCAGAGGCCTGGGAGCTCAATAAACATTTAAGGCTGTACATGGCTGAATTCACAGCAGCATTCTCAACAGTAATGATGAGAATCATCAGGGTAAGTTTCCAAGCAAACATCACCCTCCAAATGAAACTGTTCCTATCGTCAAGAGTGCATTACAGTGCCAGAACTGCCAGTGGGAAATACTAAAGCAGATCAGTTTCAATAACCACAATACTTTGAAGACACAGATCACTTTCCCAGTAATCTTGCCTTCTGGATTTTAAATTATATTCAGTAACGGAGTCTTAAGAAGACACATCAGTGATATAAAATATAGTGAAATTCTTTGGATTGGTAGTTCTTAGAATTCTTCATCAGAATTCATGTAGATTGTGTGTAGACAGCATTAGACCACACAGCAAACTCACAAGGATAAAACCAGGTATGACATATTTTGAATTTGTACAAAAGGATTTGAAAAGGATTCAGTCTACTGTATTCAGCAGAGCAGAAGTGTATTTTGAATACTGCACTTGCTAAACAAAGCACATCTTTTGTTTAGAATCCACCCGAGTGTCAGCTAATGTGTAACTTCTGAATATGCCACACACTGTAATCATGGACAAGGGAACTGAGCCCCGGGGAGAAGCTGTCCACATTTGTGCTCTTCTCCTCACTTTCTATCAATTCTTCAATTCCTGAAATTGGGAGAGCAGTGACCTTGTTTTTCCTGAAGCCAATGGATGCTCCATAAGTCCCTCCTAGGTGACTTTCTGGGCAGCAACTACCTTTCTGGCTCTAGAGACATCTCTCTCTCCTGGTTTCCTTGCTTTCTCCAAGGCTGCATGTTCTCATATCTTTCAAATATGTCTATTGCTTGGCTTTCTTAAATATATTTGAATTCCTCAGGATTACAACTGGTAACCTTTTTCTTATTCCATACCACCACCCCCACCACCTCCACCCCCCCCCCAGAGGCAAATTTATCTATCTCCATAGTTTCAATCATTATCATTTTATTAAACATTTACAAATCTTTACCTTTAGCCCAGACTTCTCTGAGTTCCAGAGGCAAATATTCAGCTGGGCACTTCTATTTCGATGTCCTGTAGGAACCTCAACTGGATGCATTTAAAGTTGAACCTGGCATCCAATATATCTGCCAAAGGTCCTGCATCTCTATCACAGAGATTCATATAACTCTTCATTCAGCTATCGGGCCTAATACTTAAAGCTGTCCATGTTATTTTCCCTACTCCCATCCCTGCCAATTCTAACCAGTCACCAACTGTCAGTTATCTCTTTAATTTACCCCTTCATCTCCACTACCATCTCTCATGTGGATGAATACACAGCCTTCTTACTGTTCTCTCTGGCTTCTACTTTATTTCCCTCTAATTTATCTACACTTGGGAGGAAGAACAATCCATATAAAGGCAACCTTAACTGTGTGCATGGATGAAAACTCCGCAATATTTTCATAGGCTCTTAGGTTAAATTTCAAATTACCTAAATTGGCTTAAGGCCCTTTAGGATCTGACCCCAGCGTACCCTTCCAGCCTTATCCTCTTATTTTTCACCTCCTTGCCTTTTGCTTTAATGCTTTTCAGTTTATTTGGTCAGCCTTCTTTTCTCTCACCTTTGGGACTTCATATAAGCTGTTCTCACTTGCTCAACCACTTATTCAATGCCTGCCAAAATGAAATGGTGCTACTTTTAAGGCTGTTTTTCAGACACCAACTAGACAGTCTGTCATCCTGGATGTTATCAGTCTCAGATGATGTAACTTAGAAAGCAGTCTTCCCTCAATTAAAGATGAATTTCATCTTCTACACAAAATCTGGCAAGATATCAGGAATGTTTAGAAATTCTTGAAACTTAAACCTCTCATATGGCCTATGCTTTTGAGAATTTATATATTCTTTTCCTTCTCCGAGTGCTAAATGAGTCCTGAACAAACTTTAAAACCTTAATCTGGTGTCAATTCCACTCTGAAAATTTCCCTTACCCTTCCATTAGGATAGAATTATACATTCTTATTATTGCAGGTCCTATATTATACTATGCCATAACTCTTATTATGCTCTTATTTTCAAGGTGATATACAGTTTTTTAAAAAAATCAAAGAGGATTTTGCTTGTAGTAATGGCAGAGTAACATTGCAAATGAATCTCTCTCTCATAGAAACAACTAGAAACACTGGAAAAATATACAAAACATCTCTCTGAAGGCACTGGAGAGATACCAAGGCATAAAGCTTTACCTTGATGGGTAAAAAAAGAAAGCATAGAGAGGTGAGTACAATGCTGCTTTTCCTCTCAACACAGTTCTTAATTTGTAAACTGTTGCCCATAAGCTGAGAAGCTTAACATAGCTTCCTGAAATCTCATGAGTCTGGGAAGATTAAAAAAAAAAAAAAAGTTCTAAGCCCAAGAAACAGAATGGTCCTAGTAAACATCACAGATGTTTGGATGGGATGCACAAAGGACTACACCCTGAAAGGTAAACTGGAAATAGACTACACAAATTTCAATCTCTGCTCCTATTATGGTGATCTGCCCCTATCTTAACCACATGCTGGAAGCAAAGAATAATCCTCTATAGGGAATGAATCGTCTGGAGCCTAAAATTATCTCTACAATGCAATTACCAATGATTAACATTAAATTTAAAATAATTGGAAACACCAGGGGATAAGGCCAATGGCTGAAAACCAAGAGGAGAAAAAAAACAGACAATACAAACAGGCCCATAGGTGATTCTGATATTGAAGTTATTGGACCTGGACTTTAAATAACTATGATAACTATGTTGAAGAAATTAAATAAGATAAAGAATTGCAGCAGAGAAATGGAAACTATAAGAAAACAATCAAATGGCTATTATAAAATTAAACACTTAAAATTAAGAACTCAATAGATGGGGTTGGAAGCAGAATAGATACAACTAAATAGAGGAATTGTGAGCTACAGATAGATCAAAAGAAAAAACTGAGTATAAAGCATAAAGAAGAAAAATTATGGCAAATACAGAAGAGTATAAGAGACACACAAAACAGTGAAAATGTCTAACATGGGGGTAACTAAAGTGTATAAAAAGGACTAGAGAAAAAATGTGGCAGAAGCAGTATTTGAAGATACAATGGTTGAATTTTCCAAAACTGATGTAAAACAACAAATCCTATTTTTAAGGAGTACTACAACACAAAGAAGAATAAATATGCAAGAAAACTCCACTAGGCACATTTCTTGAAAACCAAAGGCTGAAAAAATTCAAAAAAGCAAGTAGAGGGGAAAAATAAAACCACATTACCTTTAGAAGAGTAAACTGACAGCTGACTTCACAACAGAAATAAAGGAAGCCAGAAGACATAACATCTTCAAATGCTGGAAGAAAATAACTGCCAACCTAAAATTTTATAATAAGTGAAATTATCCACCAAAAATAAAGGCTAAACAAAGCTATTTTTAAACAAACAAAAACTGAAGGAACTGGCCACAGAAGACACTAAAGGAAATAGTAAAGGGACATCTTCAGGCAGAAAGGAAATGATCCCAAGTATAAGTACATGGAGATGCAGGCAGGAATGAAGAGCAACGGAAGTGTAAAGATTGGGGCGGGGGGAGTCATTCAATACTGAGTGTATGAGGCAACAAACGAGACTGTATTGAGGAGATTAAAATATATGTTGAATTAAAACATGCAACAATGATTAAGTCAGACGAAAAGTAAATGAAGTGCCCCAAGATTCTTACTATCCAGGAAGAGGTAAATATACTAACTTAGACTTAAAAAATTGTAAAAGAATAGGCGATGAATATATAACTAATAAGCTAATCAAGGAGAAATAGAATTAACAGATACATATAAATCTGAAAGAAAGCAAGAAAGGACAGAAAAAGGAAGCTAGCGTAGGTAGATTTAGAAAAGAAATAGTAAGATGACAGATTCAAACCTAACGTCAGTAATTACATTATATATAAACCAAATACTCCAACGGAAAGAAAAAGATTGTCATACCAACAAATAACTCCTCTTTCCACAAAAGAACAGTTACACACATTAATCACAGGATACACATTAAATGTAAGTACACAGAAAAGTTAAAAGTAAAAGGATGGGAAAAAATTTATCATGCACATTATAGTGAAAACAAAAGCTTCTACGTAGAAAACTATGTAACAGTATTGAGAGAAAGGAAAATCTAAATAAATGGTGGGACATACTCACAGAAGACTGATAAAATGTCAACACTGAAAGACGTCAATTATCCCAAAATTGATTCATGTAACCTTGATTTTAAAAAAATCCAAGACAGTATTTTTTTTGAGGGAGAAGTAGAAATTGACCAGCGATTCTAGAATTTATGGGGAAGGGCCAAGAGTAATCAACAGTAACCTAACAACAGTGTTAGAGGACTTACATTATCAGATATTAACACTTAGCATAAAGTTGCAGTGATTAGGAAAATGTGGTACTAAGGTAAGAACAGACAAAGCAATGGAAAAGGATCAAAAGATCAGAAACCAGCTCACATATACATGTTCACTTAATTTATGATAAAATGGCACTAAATACTTGGGGAAAAAAACAATTGTTTTAAATGTTGGTGCTGGGTCAAATGCATACCCACATGGAAAAATTAAAGTAAGATCCTGTTTAAATATACATAAAACTCGATTCCAGGTGGATTGTATGTAGTTCTCAATATGAAAAGTAAAACAACAAAGCTTCTAGAATGTGACGGAGGAGAATACTTTCATGATCTTGGAGAGGCAAAAATTTTAAAAGAAAAGTGTAAACTGGACTATTTTAAAATTTAAACTTTGTTCATCAAGAAACACCTTTAAGATAGTAAAAAGGTAAGCCACAAGATACAAGAAATATATATGTGACAAAGAAAAAGAAAACTCAAAATTTTAAAAACGGGCAAAAGACATGAATAGAAAAAACACTTCACAAAAGATATCCAAATGGCCAATGAACATGTGAAAAGATCCCAATTACATTGTCTGTAAGGGAAATGTAAATTCAAACCATAATGTGATACTAATATGCACTCAACAAAATGGCTAACATTGACAATACAAAGTGATGGCATGGGTATAGAACAACTGGAACTTTCATTGCTGCTGAAAGGAGTGTAGCTGAATAGCTGTACAGCCTATGACCCAGCAATTCCACTGGGATGCTGAAATGTTCCATTACTTGATCTTGGTGGTGGTTTTTCGGGTGCATTCAATTTGTGATAACCATGAAGGTATACATTTAGGACTTATGCTCTCTTCTGCATGTATATTATACTTCAGCAATAATGTATACTTCAAAAATAAAAGTCAGGCAGTACCACTGTACAGCAAAAGCGACGATCCATATCCACTCCTCCTCTCTAGAGTCCTACTTTTAAAGGCACTCAGTTCTTTATGCTTTTTATTTGATTCATTTCCTATTTTCAAGTAATGAGCTTATACTGAAACTTCTTGATGTTTCCATTTTAGATTGCTATATTCTACTGTGTCTACTTCCTAATATAACATTTCCTTTCTTATAGAACCTGGTGTCTTTGATAGAGTTGATAATTATATAATCTGTTCCTCATCGTGTGCTCCTGTTCAGGGGTACTCAGTGTCTCCAGTACTCAAGCCGTCCCTATCACTGCAGACCTTTCAGTTTGTATTTATTTGGCTCTATCGGTTACCATTCATCTGTCTTCTTCCATCTTTGAAAATTCCATTGACATCTTATTTGTTGTCACCTTCTCTCTTATTCTCTTTGAACTTTTTCCCTCCCTTCCTTTACTTCAGTGGGATTTCAAGAGTCATATAGATAGGCCCATAAGTCTATAATTACTGTTTGATTATAGTCTAATAGGCATGTACCACAAAGAGTTTGGGGGAATCATATTTTATTAGGTTTTTGTATGCTTAACATCAAGCCAAGTAATAAGCACACAGGAAGTGCTTAAACTTATATATTGAACTGCTGAAAAAAAAAAAAAAGTCAGGTTCATTGTCAAAACAATGAACCCCCATCCTCAGCCCAATGGTCTGCAACTGCCAAATGGCATCATGAAGTGTGTGAGTCTCACCTGTGTAGTGCTCATTGCCTTGAGCAGCACATGTCAGGAGCTGCGCCATGGAGGAGCCCACTGCTTTAGATGTACTTCCCAGGTCCTGAGCACATTTTTCCAGCTGTAAGAATATTTAAAGGGGAAGAGAGATCAGAAGAAAAGAAACATCCACTGAAGTCTTAGCATAAAAATAATGCAGACCAAACCTTGGGCCTTAGCTCTTTCCAGATTTTTCCTACCAAATACCCCAATGGCACTAAGAAGTGGGATGACAGAGGGGAA